ACTAACGACCTTCTTCGTCTTATTCCTCCTTTTTGTTCCTTGGACAGATTAAAAAAACCCTATTTTCTGCTCTTTATGTAGAAAACCTTTCTTTTTTCTTTTTTGCGTATATTTGGGTTTTTTGTTTTTCGTTTTCTATCTTTGCTTTCAGTGCTTTGAGCTTTCTTATGCTTGAAGAAAATCTCGAGTTCTCTGTTATTTCAGGTAAGCTTTTTAAGTTTCTGATGTTCCTTTCTTCATCCCTTTCTCTCTCTGTTGTTTTGATGCATAATTAATTAATGTTTCAAAATCTATTGAAGGAAGCTGTTTTTTCATTGCTGTATAATTTTTTCTGATGTTTCAACATAAACTTTTCTGTATTTAAGCTCACCTTTAAATTCCTTTAATCAGTTTCACCCTTTCTTGTTGATCTTCTGTTCTAAAATTTGTTGTTAAAAAAATCCATTTTCCCACCCTCTCTGCTGATTAATTCAGGCAGATTAAACGCTCAAGGACATTTGTTTTCTCTTCTTCTGATTTATCAGATTTTGCAGGAAAGTGGACTTGTTGAAATCAAGCATTACTCCAGAGAATAATTCAGAGTTTTAAGGAATCAATTTGTGGTTGTCGTGTGTTCAACATGGGAAGGGAAGTTCATCAACCTTCTGATGATGTTGAATTCGAGAATTATCATCCAGGTTGCATGCGGGGCATATTTAATGTTCTTGACAACCATCATTGGTATAATGTCAAAAAGATGCTCCCACACAGAAAGTTCAACAGAGGAAGACGTTCCAGATGTAAGAAAACCTCACCTTGTCTCATCCCTTTATCAAATTCGGAAAATTTCCTACTACAAACTGCAATTAACAAGTATTTTGATGCATGTTAGAGAGTTTTGTGTTTGTCCAATTTGACAGAAAAAATGCTAGCTTTGTATGATTCAATCTTTTTTCCTTTCTAAATTGCAGGGTGTGCAAATCCGCGAACTTTATCCATGGAACGTGAACCTGTTGAATCCCAAAGATTATTAGATGCCGAGGCTGAACAAATCCAAGTAAGTTGACACAATATTCATTGGTTTTCGCTTATAAATATTGGATACGGCGATGAAAAAAATACCAAATGACTGACCTAATTTAACAGGTTCAGCAGCAAACAAGGCAAACAGGATCGACCAACAAAAGGTCTGGCAACGCGCCCACAAAAGGGTTAACTAGTAAAGAGAAGGCTAAGGAAGAGAACGATAATAAAGATTGGATTTTGGTGCATTCTGCAAAATCACAGTTGCAGCAAACTGATTCAACCCATCACCTGGAACCTTCAGGTTTCGATCTAGGTTGGATGAATCCGATTATTCTTGTCCGCAAGCTAGGCAACACCTCGGATACGACCTCAACGAAGAGTAAAAAGCCGAATATCCGTGAAAGAAAGAATGCAGACCAACACTTTGAACATGAAGGGAATTCTGGAAAGCATGCTAATAATAATAGGGGAACTCGAAATCTGAAGGCAACGTCTATAAAGCTCAACAAACAAGTTCCATACAATCAGGTTGAGGCAGTGGATGTTTTGGAGATATTTAAGGCAAACAAAGATTTATTCCTAGATATTCTTCAGGATCCTGAGGTTGGTATTTCACAGCATTTTCCTGGAAAGCATACTTCCAAGGCGGTAAAATTAACAAAATCAGGGTCATTTTCGATGCCTGATTCACCTCGCAGTGATTATCTTAGGTCTAGTACGCTTGAGCACAAGCAGAAGGAAGTTTGGTCCTTCCGAAGGGGAGAAAAATTCATCGCAGGTGCTCAATTATCCAAGTCAAAGGCCTTGACGAGGACCGATGATCATTTTCGGAGCATCATAAAGGAAGAAGCAAGCTCTTCATTCCAGGCATCTGATTCCCAAAGGTGGAACCATTTAGTTATGAATCGTCTCAAGGATATTAAGCAGAGAATAAAGCAGTCCCTCAAGGACAGGAGAAAGAGTATTAACCATACAAGGGCCAATGAGTTCACCCTTCGGGTTTCTTCAAGTGATACATTGTCCACAAATGAGAGAGGCATTGGAAAGCTCGGAAAAGATGGCCAGTAGTTGTCCTCCGAACAATGCTGATGATCATGATATCGACAATGGTAGACTCAGAATGATGATAAGAACAAAGTCCATAAATGAGTTACTAGATAGATACACTCGGTTGTTTCATCATAGTGCAAGCACATAGGCCAATTTGAATCACTCAAGGAGCTTAAAGTTGAGCAATGAAGATAAAGTTCCATCAAGAGGGAATAATGCTCCCAAGTTTTTCAGGAGGATTTCATCCCTATCTGAACTTGAATCATTTTACTCCTTTCTATATGAAGTGTCTTATGACGCTCTTTCTTCGGATATCCCAATCAGGAGTATCCAAGATAATTATGCAGACAAGGAAACCGATGCTCATATAGAACCGAAACCAGCTAGTTTCCCTGAAGATATTGATGAAGTTGAACTAGTAGAAGCTGTTATAGAGGCTGAATTGCAGGAAAACACACGAGAAGGACTGTATAGTCGTGGCTTAACCAGTTTATCAGTGGATAAAAGCAGTGAACAAATTGCTAAACCATGTGAGTTTAATGAAGATGCAGTTGAGCTGACGCAACCAACTTCAGAATTAAGTGACATAACCAGCACAGCGAAGCTTCCATTGTCAGAAGGTAAATGTCTATAATATGAGCTTGCACATTAATGTAGTTAAGATTAAACCAATAAACAATTAACAAAGCTTTTTTTTTATCTGTTTTTGATTCATTGTTGAAGTGGCTGCTAATTCTTTTAGCTAAACTTTAATCAGGTTTAGGACCGAATCATTCAAACTTTCCCGAGGGTGAAGCAGAGTATTTTACGAAAGAAAGGCCCAGAACAAGCCAGGAAAGTGTTGACAATAAAACCATGGGAAACAGCAGTCGGTTCCTATTCTTTGAACCAGATAGGGAGGCTGATCCTTGGTACAATTATGTCAAAGATATTTTGGAGCTCTTAGGTTTCACACGAGATGAGGGGCGCCAAATATGGTTCTCACCGGACCAACCATTGGACCCATCAATGTTCAAGGAAATGGAAACTCTATTGCACCCTGAACTGGAATTCACCATTGATGAAGTTGGAAGCAACTGTGATCACCAACTAGTTTTCGATCTCGTCGATGAGGAGTTACTTTAGATGGGTGAAAAATCATCTGTATATTTCCCCAAGCCCTTCTCTTTCAACACTGGCATTAGCTTGAAGCTGAAGAGAAACAATGTTGTTGAAGAAGTGTGGAACAAAGTTAGCAAAAACATGGCCTCCCAACCAGAACATGATCGGTCATTGGATGATATTGTTGCTGGAGATTTGGACAAAAATGCCTGGATGAGCCTTCAAGCCGTATCAGAAGTCGTGGCACTTGAGCTAGAAGATTTAGTTTTTGATGAGCTTTTGGATGAAGTTCTTTGTTTTTTACTAGAGTAATTTAGGCCAAATATTACCGTTTCCCTCTCCCCCCCAACAATACATGAATGTTAATCGGTCATTAGATGTGGGTTTTTGATGAAATTCATGTTCATATACTAATAAACGATATTTCCTTGTAGGACATATAGTGCGTTCGAAATTGACTTGGTCAGACTTGTTTTGTATGTTGTACTCCATTAAAATATTTCAATGTGGTATATGTATTTATAAAATATTCAATATATATATTTTTTAATTTATTCTTATAATCTAATTTAACGAGATGTTAAAATATGTGATCATATGTCATGTAATACTTTAATAGAAATTTTTTAATATTCAAAGGACCTAAAGTTAATTAATTCAAAAACCTTTTTATAAAAAATATAATATAAATTAAAATCGATGAACACTCCTTTTTATGTATAAAAGAACTAAAGAAAAAGATACGACGATCAAACAACAACATTCGATTTGATATCTCAAATTTAATAAGCTTTTATTTTTAAGAATTTCCAGGGTCTTCTTGTTTGCAAACAACCAATAACCAATTCTAAATGTATGGTAACAATCAGAGACGATCGTATAATTTTATGTTAGATTTATAAAATTTTAAGAGGTAAAAAATTATTTTTAATAAAAAATATATAAAAATGCAGTGAATATTTAAAAATATATTGAAAATCATAAGAGTTTCTCATAGTAATGTATTAAAAAAGTACACAAATAAATCGAATATTTAAAGAATACATGTACTACATTGAAAATTTTGATAAAATATAGAAATTGTATTTTTTTTCAATAAGTGATGTTAAAATAAAGTTCGAATTCTGAACAAAAAATATTTATATCATTTAATTATTAAGATAATAAAAGATTTATAGAAATTATAATTTAAAAATAAGTTTTCAATTTTAGATATAAAGTATTTAATAGAAAAAAAATCGACATCGAACATTTTTTTTTAAAGTCTGATAATAAATTTCCCGGTTTTGGATTTCCGTAACAAGTTACTTGTATATCATATATGTCTATCTCGTTTGGTGGATTAAGCTATATCCATATTTTGCTGCTTCAAGTGTCGGTCTAGCCATCAAATCGATACATAGAGACTACAGAAAATTAGCGTGTTCTTCGGTTTGCCAAATTTGATTTAAAAAGAAGCTCATCCGTATTGTTCATTGCTTCTGATCACAAGACTAGGCAAACTAAATCATGGATTGGTTGTAAATCGCAATGCATTTCCAGCTTATATACATTTGCTCGGTATCAGAATCACAATAATCCTTATGGTATGGATCCTTTGAACTCTTATTTAGGTAGACATGGACTAGAAGTTAACCTGCATATTGAAAGGCTAAAAGTTGCATAAACACACGTATAATTTTTGTTGTTGTAGTTCTATCACTGAAACAAGGTGCATTGCTAAAACCTGATTAATGAATGTAGCAAAAATACTTTAGAGGGTTGTAGAAAACCATGGAAATGAGGAACATTCATTTCATTTATGGTGTTTTTTGGATTGAGATTAGTTTATTTTGTCTTAGTTCTTGTGCAGTATTATGTTGATCCATCCTCGGGCTGAAAGTTCAGATCGAAGAAAGAAGTGCTTTACTATCTAGAAACTGGAATGCCCCCACCTTAAAAGAAGAAAGGAACAGAGACTTCTAGCGGTGAAGATGTTGTAAGACCGGAATGAAAAGCTTTTTTGTTTTATGATGCCGAACATTTACCCAACTCTTCACTTAGTTCTTAACTCCCGCCTGTGTCATGCAGGGTAAAGGGAACACTGGAGGCAACAAACAGAAGAAACCTGATAAAAAGCCAAAGCCTTTGAACTCTGATTTCGATAACGTGCCGCAGAAAGTTGATTGGTTGTTGACGTTTGGCTCTGAACACTGCTGGACTCCCTTCTTGGGGAGGACCGAGTGGCTGACCCTACTAGACAAGATTGGGCCGCTGCGTTTGCATCCGTAATAGCCAGGAAAAACGGTCAAGCAATGTATTGAAGACATTCGACACCTGATTAATCAGATGGTTTCATACTGACCAGCAGCAGGCCTTTTCTGTTCCATCTCCAATTATTTTTGTTTCAGCTCAAATTGACATATGACATCATCTTTTGATAGGGAAAACAGGCAAGCTCGACAAGAGTTGACAGCGTTCTTGTTCTAGGTTATTTGTTTGTTACACACTAATGCATTCATTTTTTGTCATTTTCCCTCTGTTTATACGTAACCTACACGTTCTTTTCTGATTAGTTTTGTCGTTCGAAAACTAGAACGGATAGTTTTGTCAGTTTTTAGATAATGACAAGCCGAGCTTTGTTTGTTGGGTTTCTCGTGTATTTCATTTGCTATTTTGTTTCAGCAATGCATTCCTCATTACAACTAAACACGTGCATCTACTTTGCTTTCAGTAATGGTGTTTAGAAATCAGACCGAGGAAAACAATTTGATACTGTGAAGCTGTGAGCCGAAGTTGGTTCAAGTTTTTCTTTTAATGATTATTTGATTTTTCCCAACTAAGGTGCAAAAGTTGTTCTTTTTTTTTTGGTAGAAAAAATAAATAAATTTAACTTGTTTGAATCGAGTTTAAATCTTGAACAAATGGAATTGGTGTATCCTCATCATTAATCTCAGTTACCTATTGAAGTCATTCATTATTTCAATCAAACTTAGATCGATGATATAAGGATATTCTGTTTAGAAATTTATTAATCTATTAACAATACATACACATCCTATACCTTTAAAATTCACTTTTATTATTGAGACTATACGATGAGTTTTGCGAGGCAGGTGATTTAGGAAAGACTGCGGAATTTCCTAGGGGTGATGGACTAAATTTTTTCAAAAATTACCATTAGATTCCTTGCATTTTTAAAGAATTTCATTTGGTCACTCAAAATATTTTACAATTTTTATTTGTTTCTTTAAAATGTTAAACATTTTAGCATGAATATGTATTTATATTATATTAAATTAAAATAAGTATTTTAAGAATATAAAATTTATGTATTTCACTCAAGTGATTATAAAAATAAGTCACATATATATTAATTTAAATTAATTTTTATGAAATATGAATTCCTCTTATGAGTTGAAATATTAACAACTTATCTTAATTGATATACACATACAAATTAAGTTTCTTTTGGTATGAGATTTTTTTAATTATCGAAAATTTTATTTAATATTAACAATTTTATCTTATTTCTTAAATAGTGATTTTTTATTTTATTTTATAATTGATCACTCCAAAAGTAAAATGTCAAATTATTCTAGTAAATTTACTAAACTTCGGGACAATGAAAATGGCATTGCAGTACTTTCCCACTATATTAAAAGGGTAAACTACATGTTTAGTATATGAACTATTAACTTTATTTCATTTTAGTATATATATTTTTATTGTTTCAAAATCATACCTAACATTTATTTTTTGTTTCATTTTAATACCGGTTGTTTTAAACTTAACAAAATAGTTGTACGTGACATTTTCTTATGAGTAAATTATATTATTCATCTTAATTATTTTCTCACTCTTACTTTGGTTACTAAAGTTTAAAAAAATTTAATTTAACAACTTAACTTTCAAATTGCTCACATTTTAATTACTCTAGCTTACTTTATTAATATTTTTGAGACATTATATTATTTATTATTTTATTCATATATAATTAAAATGAAAAAAATAAATTTGAGAGTTAGAGTAATTAAATTAGGAATAATTTGAAAGTTGAGTAATTAAATTAAAAAAATAAACTTCAATGACCAAAATAGGAGTGAGAAGATAGATGAGTGACTGAATGGTGTAATTTACGATAAAAATGTGACACGTTGTAATATTTTGTTATTTTTTTTAATGACGTGGTACCAAATCAAATAAAAATAAATATTAAGTATGAATTTGAAACAAATAAAAGTTTAGATATTAAAAATACAAAACTAATAGTTTAGATACTAAATATTTAATTTACCCTATTAAAAACACGGGCGACACAACCCAGGGTTATTCGTCTAGTCTTGTTACAGTGAGCTTTTTGTAGACTGTAGTGTTTGGTTTCTCATTTCTCACATAATTCTCGTTTTCATCGCCAAAAAGAAAAACCCCAAGAAAAAATGGCTCGTAAATTCTTCGTCGACGGCAACTGGAAATGCGTATGTTTTTTCATCTGTTGTTTATATTAAAATCAAATGGTCTGATCTAGTGATGCGTTCTTCATTCAGTGATCTGTTTCTTTATGTGTTAATATTCGATCTTGAAAACGTTGTTAGATCTTATTTCATTTTGTACAAATACTAAGCTCTTAAGTTTTAAGATCTGATTTAGTAAAATCTGTTGTGATTACTGCATATTCATAAATAGATAACAATTCCCTAACACTCCGTATGGAAACATGGATTTAAGAATTTAGATTTGCATCTCATTTGCTATGTAAACGGTAAGAATGAAATGTCAAATGAAAAATAGTTAAGGTTCAATATAATAATAGTTGGAAAGTATAAAGCATTGATTTATCAAATTCAAAAATATAATAGGAATTTCAAATTCACTTCTAAATAGACGTCTAACAAATCCATGGATTTGAGAAATAATCATGAATGTTATATTTCTATGGACTTTGTTATTCAATTTACACTATCTATGAAATGCAAATTTAAAATTTGAAATCCTAGTTCCCAAATGCTATCTAAAGAAATTTAATGAGTTTGAGATTTGATTTTGTTGCAGAATGGGACAACTGAGGAGGTTAAAAAGATTGTTACAACATTGAATGAAGCTGAAGTTCCTTCTGAGGATGTCGTTGGTTAGTTTCTTTTTATTTATCCAAACTTTAAGTTGTGACAGAGGTTGTTATGAAAGATTTATTCATTTGAAAGATTTACCGAGTTTGAATTTATGCTGTGACAGAGGTTGTTGTGAGCCCTCCATTTGTGTTTCTTAACTTTGTGAAAAGTCTCTTGCGGTCTGATTTCCATGTTGCTGCTCAGAATTGTTGGGTTCGTAAAGGCGGTGCTTTTACTGGAGAAATTAGGTATGTTTTTTTCATCTTGTGTCTCTTTTTATAGCTCTCAATTTCAATATGTTATCATTTGCGTATTTGGCAGCTCACTTGTTCTGTTTGAACAGTGCTGAGATGCTTGTTAATTTGAGCATTCCATGGGTTATTATTGGTCACTCTGAAAGAAGGGCTCTTTTGAATGAGTCCAATGAGGTAACATAGTATAATATGGTTAGATTGCTGTAATCACAGACTAATTCCAAGGCCTGTTTTTGTTATTTCTTGAATCTATTTTATTGTTATTACTTTATGGCCATTTATTTATTTCAACGCTTTTCTCTGCAGTTTGTTGGAGACAAAGTAGTGTATGCACTTTCTCAAGGCTTGAAAGTGATTGCATGTATCGGAGAGACTCTTGAAGAGAGAGAATCTGGCTCTACCATGGCTGTTGTTGCTGCACAAACCAAAGCAATTGCTGGTATTCTCTTTTGAAATATAAAAAGCCAAAGCAGTTATTTGTTTGAGTTATTTCACCGTAACTCTAATAGCTACCCTAGTTAAAGTTTACAATTGTTTACTTGTAGTTTCTATTTTACCACGTTGGGTTAGTGTTTTGCATTGTCTTCTTTTTTTAATATATCTTTCTTAATGGTGATTTTTTTAATGGTTAAGAGTAAATTATAAAAAAAGATGAGAGAGAGTGTCAGAAAGAAAACTGGAGAGAGAGAGAGTATCTTAGGTTTTCAGTCCTCCAGCGAGGATTGGACGGTGTTTGTGGATAATCTGAGCAAAAGAGTCTCTTGGAAAACAGTGAAGGAAATTTTTCAACAACAGGGTCGTGTATTGCGAGTTTTCATCCCGAGTAGTTCTAGCAAACCGAACTATAGTAATCATACGTTTGCTTTCGTTCAGTTTGCAAAGGAGGAAGGATTGAAGAAGGCGGTGGAAAATGTCAATGGTATTTGGATTGATGGAAAGAAAATATATATTGGGGTAGCTAAGTATAAGAAGCAGAGACCTCGCCAAGTGGACAGTAGAAATTTCATAAGGGAAGAAGATACGTTGTATAAGGGAGGATATTGGAGAAGAAAAGTTGATAATGAGTCCTTTAATCGATTGAGAGATGAAAGATCATATAAGGATGCATTAGCCTCTAATGCTGGGCTGAGGGAAGATCAGGTGAGCAAAGAAAATAGGGTGGGGATTCCTAGGAAGAAATCGGGGCTGAGGAACTTGTAGGAGATGCACATTCCCTCGGATAAATCGGATTGGGTGAAAAGATCATTGACAGGGATCATTAAAACACACTTTGATTTGGAGCTAGTGATGAAGGGTCTGGTGAGTGATGGGATCAAAGTCAAGTTAGCCAAATGGGGTTACGCAAGAAACTCTTGCATTTTAACCTTTGCTTCAGTGGAGAAATTAAAGGAGGCGTGGTCGAGTAGATTGGAGATATTATCATTTTGGTTTGAATGGCTTGATATGCTTCTGAATGAGGAAGGCTTACCGATGTCATTTTGCTCGGTTGAATTAGTTGGAGTTCCGTTATTATGTTGGAATGTCCTGTTTCTGGAAAAACTTGTTTCAAGGTGGGGGAAGCTGATTTGCATTCAAGATTCGACGGTTAGAAGAGAGGATATGACGGTTGCAAGGGCATTGTTGAGGGTGACCAGTCTTTTTGATATACCGGAAACAGTTACACTTGGATCGTATGGGAGATCTTATTTGGTTAAAATTAATGTGGGCTCAGTTTATTTGAAACAGAATGGTTTTTCAGCAGTGAATTCAGCGGTGGACGGCGGTGGAGCGTACAGGGAAGTTGCAGCATCAGAGGAGGGAGATGATCGGTACTCAGGAGGGGTTGGTAGGTCAGACATATTAGCTGAGGATACTAGAGGTAGAGTTGACACGTGGTTGGAAGGGGATGTATGTAATGTTGCGGCTGGTGGTTGTGAGGATCAACATTTAATGGGGCAGGTAGATGAAGGTCAACCCAGTGGAGAAAGGGTGTCAGAACTACTAGAGGAAAATTTGAATTTAAGAGGGGAATATCTGGGCCTCGGGTTGAGGAATAATATATGTTATAGATGTGAAAAAGCACAGTCAAACGACTTTAGTGAGCCCACCCCAATTAATACAAGATTCTCTCCAACTGGGCCTGCTGTTAACTTAATAGAATTGGGCTATGGTAAACAGATAGATCCTCGGGTGGACATTCCAAGTGATCTTCAACAGACTGATTTGGAGAAATCAAACTTGCAGAATTTGGTTCTTGCTAAGCTTGACTCTATTTTAAAAAGGAATACTGGAGAATCAAATGTCAGAATTCAGTCACATTGTAGAGGGCTTTCTAAAATAATAATTCTGAAGGGATAGAGGAAGAAGTTGAACTGGACAAAGAAGTTAGAAGTATAGAGGAAACAGAGGTGGAAAAAGAACTCGTACCAGTCCAAAAGGTTGGAATTCAGGTGTTGGGAGCCAATCAGGAGTCTGTCACTAATGGTTTAAGGAGTTGGAGTCCTCTGGACCTCTTGTCTGGAAGTTTGTGTGGTAGGAACGTCCCAGTAGGAAGGTGGAAAAGAGGATCTGTATCTAGAGTATATAGAAGAACTAGGGTAAGAAAGGTGTGGCATAATCCGAGCAGAAAAGATGAGGGACTTCAAATAAGGGAGTTGGTTGTTCAAAATAGGAATATTCTAATCCCTAGTTTGAGCAGACAATCATATCTAAATTCCTTAGTGGAAGGGGCCAATTCCATTAATGAGGAATTTGGTGTTCCTCAGATTTCAGAAGTGGGTATTGCTCAACATTCTGGGAATGTAGAAGAGTTCTCTATTAGATATATACCTGGTTCTATGCCAGGGAGAGTGAGTAGAAGTAGGAGAAGGCTTTTGATCAGAGAAGCTTTGGATGTGGTTAGTTTCCCTACTGTTTATTCTTCAACATTCTCGTTGTTCTTGGAGGAGGCTTTGGCTACATGGGAAGTCAGCAAAATACTGGGGATATCTTTTAAAGAGGGGAAGAAGGCTTTTCTAGACAAAATTATAAATTTTGAGGATGGATTGGCCTAAAGTAGGGAACGGGGGAATTCAGGGGATTAGTGTTCTTCTGTTGACTAGCTTAAAGGTTTTGGTGTTGAATTTCTCGTTATGATAGATGTCAACATAATTTCATGGAATGCAAGGGGTTTTGGAAAAAAGGGAAAATCAAGAGCTGTAGCTAATTTGGTGAAGAGGAATAAGCCGAACTTTCTTCTAATTCAAGAAACAAAACTAGAAAGTGTTTCTTTGGCTTTAAGAAGAAGGATAGGGGGAGTTTTCTTAAAGGAGGTATTGTTGTTCCAGCAGTGGGATCTGCAGGTGGATTAATGATTATGTGGAATGAAAATGATTTTGTAGTCTCGAATAGCCTCTTAAATGGTAGATTCATAGCAGTCTTTGGGAAGTTCAGAAATTCAAGTGAAGAGTGTGTGATTATAAATGTTTATGGTCCATCAATTGAAGCAGAAAAGGAAGATTTTTTCAGGGAACTGTTGGAGTTTGTGTCTGCTCAAAATTTGTTAGTGTGTATCGGGGGAGATTTTAATGTGTATCTCGATCCGGATGAGAAGTTGGGCAAAAGTCCCAAAACTGGCATTCTATTGATTTATTTAGAAACATCTTACAGCAATCAAACTTAATTGATCTCCCTATGGTGGGAAGAAGGTATACTTGGTCTAATAATAGAGAAGACTACTTGGGAAAGACTCGACAGGTTCTTAATCTCTGGGAGGTTTCTGACTTGTTTTCCGAATGTAGTGCAAAGACTTTTGCCTAGATCCTTATCTGACCATAATCCAATTTCACTAGAGGATAAAGCTGTTAATTAGGGTCTTAAATCATTCAGATTTTTTTAATTATCTATTAGAGGAGGAAGGATTTGAGGAATTGGTTAAATCTTCCATGGTTGTTATGAGGGGGAGAAATAACAGAAGGGGAATCTTCAACATCTTACAAGGAACAAAAACATCAATCAGAAAATGGTCAAGCAGTAAATTTTTTGGGATTTCTGAGTCGATTTCTGATTTAGAAAGGTATATTAATGAACTGGATTGTAAAGCTCAAGGTGGAATTCTCTCGAAGCAGGAGTGGGATCAGTTAAGGCAGTGTAGAACTAATTTCTGGAGGCTGTATAGAATCGAAGAAAGCATTTGGTTTCAGAAGTCAAGGACTAGATGGATTAAAGACGGGGATAGAAACACAAGGTTTTTCCATATGTTTGCACTGAACAGAAGCAAAAGAAATGAAATTTTAAGCTTGAAGATAAATGGGAATGTGGTTTCAGATCCTCAACAGTTAAAGTTACATATTTCAGAATTTTTTAAGGCAGCCTACAACTCCAATTCAACAATGGAAGTGGAGGACTTACTTCTGGAATTTGCTAAGCTGTCAGGGGAACAGTCTAACAAACTTGAAGAGCAATTCTTAGAACAGGAAATTTGGCAAGCTATAGCTTCATCAGACAACTCTAAAGCTCCAGGACCGAATGGTTTCACAATGGGTTTCTTTAAAAAATGCTGGCCAAGTTAAAAGGAACACTTGTTGAAATTTTTTGAAGATTTCTATTTTGGAAGGAAATGAGAGCATGGTGTAAATCATGTTTTTATCACACTTATTCCGAAGAAGCTAAATCCGGACAGTGTAGAGGAGTTTAGACCAATCAGCCTTGTAGGCAGTTTATACAAAATCATCTCTAAAGTTTTATCGAAGAGACTGAGTTGTTGTGTTGGTGATATTATTAGTCAATCTCAGTTTGCTTTTATACCGGAGTGACAGTTGTTGGATTGTGCTTTTATAGCAAATGAAGGGATTGATTACTGGAGAAAACAAGGGTTACAAGGGTTGTCTTCAAAGTAGATTTTCGTAGAGCTTATGATTCTGTGGAATGACCAATTTTAATCAGAGTAATGTCAGAGATGGGTTTTAGCAAGAGATGGTTGTCGTGGATATCTCAGTGTATATCAACAACTTCAATCTCGGTTCTTGTAAATGGGTCTCCCTCGGAAGAGTTTCCTATGGCCAAAGGACTTAGGCAAGGGTATAGTTTATCTCCGTTATTGTTTAACATTGTAGGTGAGCTGCTTCATTTGATGATAACTAAAGCAGTAGATAGGGGTCTATTTCAAGGCTTTGTTATTGGGAAATCTGAAAACTCTGTTCGGTTGTCACATCTCCAATTTGTCGATGACTTGATCATTTTCTGTCAAGCTTCTCTCTCCCAGATTAAAAATGTCAAGAGAGTGTTGAGGATTTTTAGTATTATGACAGGGTTGCATCTAAATCTAGCTAAGAGCAAGTTGTTTGGTATTAATGTGGAAGAGGAAGTTTTAACAGAGTGGGCTGTTCAGTGGGTTCCTTTCTAACAGATTACTTGGGACTTCCTCTCGGTGCTAAGAAAAACTCAGAAGCTCTATGGGATTCAGTTTTCAAGAATTTTAGCTCCAAACTTGCCGGCTGGAAAGCTTCTTGTCTCTCTTTGGCTGGCAGGACAGTTTTATTGAAGTCGGTGCTAACTTCCTTACCAATATTCTTCTTATCTATTTTAGAATGCCTTGCATTATTGGTAAGAAGCTCAATTCATTAATGGCCAGATTTCTATGGGGGGTAATGAGGAAAAAAGGAGGATACACTGGGTTAATTGGAAATCAGTTTGCAAGCCTCTGAATTCTGGTGGTCTTGGTGTTCTTGATGTGAATCTTTCTAATCAGGCTCTTTTGGGAAAATGGGTGTGGAAGTTCGCCAATGAAAAGAATACTTTGTGGAAAAGTGTGTTATGTTGCAGACATAAGGTTAGTTGTAATTCCATGTCTATTAGCAAGGTGTTTACGCCCAAATCTTCTTGGATTTTGAGAGGTATTGCTAACAATTTCTTGAAGAACGACTCGGAGGGTGAATGTATCAGATCACACTCTAAGTTGAAAGTGGGGAATGGAAAGTCTATTTCATTTTGGACAGATACATGGGCTGACGAGTTTCCTTTAAAAAATCTTTTCCCAAGAATGTATGTGCTGTCTACAAACAGATGGGTAAGGTTGCTGAGTTTGGCTGTTTTGATTCGAATGGTTGGGTGTGGAACGTCGAAACCAGAAGGAATTTGTGTGACTGGGAATTGGAGCAGTGGCTGGAATTGATGACAAAACTGAATGACTTTAAACTGACAGAATCAGTAGAAGACTTTCTTTCTTGGTCTGCAAGTGGGGATGGAATGTTTTCAGTAAAATCTTGCAGAAATGCACTCGGGAAGGTGTCGGGGGGTTCTGATATGTGGTTAAAAGGGGTGTGGCAGGGATTATCTCCTCCTCGTGTTGAAGCTTTCCTGTGGTAGCTAGCTCATCAGAAAGTGGCAGTGAGAGAAGAATTGGTGAAAAGAGGAATGCAGTTAGGGGATGAAATTCTTTGTCTGTTTTGTAAGGGACAAGTGGAATCAGTGCAACATTTATTTATTTCGTGTGTTGTAGTTTGGGAACCATGGAATAAGATAGTAAGCTTTTGGGATATAGCTTTGGTACTTCCAAAGGACCCACCTTTGCTCAGTTCTTGGGGTGAACTGAGGGGGAAATCGTTGATTTGGAAATTTATTCCGGGAGTAGTATTTTGGTCGATTTGGAAAGCTAGGAATGCAATGGTGTTCGAAGGTGCTCCCCTTGATAGGATGTCTCTGTTTTTTATTGCTAGATTCAGGTTATCTAAATGGTTTCTAGCCAAGTACCCTAAGTTTCCTATTCAGGAGGATGTGTTGATTGGTGATCCATCTCTTGCAGACGATATTAAGGCTCTTAATCCTAAGAATGTTCAGGTGATTCGCTGGTTCCCACCCCCTGTTCATTTTTTGAAGATGGATGTTGATGGAGCTGTTAGACTTGATGGCACAAATGGAGGTATAGGAGGTATTTTGAGAGACTGGAACAACAACTCTCTTCTGACTTTTTCAGAAAATATAGGTCAAGGTCCCCCTCCGGTTGCTGAGTTAAAGGCTATTAAGAGAGGAATTGAAATCTATATGTCTTCTTGTTGGGTTACTGTTGGAAGGTTGATTGTGGAAACTGACTGTAAGTCGGCTGTGGAATGGATATTGACCCCAACTTTGGCCCTTGTTTTTATCTTACCTTTAGTTAAGGAGATTTCATCACTCATCTCGGATAGGGTGCACTCAGTTCGATGGATTCCAAGGGCGTGTAATGGGGAGGCTGATAGTTTAGCAAAGATGGGAATTGGTTGATTGTTAGGCATTATCAGTGGGTTTTATTGTTTGAGGTTTTAGGTTTTTGGTTGTTACTTGAGTGGTTAAGTTTGTTGTGTTTTTCAATTTGGAGTTTTTGTTAAACATTATGTAAGTTCGTATGAGTAATAAAATTTTTAAGGCACTCTTCCTCCCTCTGCAGATTAAGGAGCTGATTATCAGGCTCCGTTAATCAAGGAGGTTTTTAATGAGGCCTATTATTCCTATAAAAAAAATATATCTTTCTTAATCATTATTGGTCTTTTGAAGATAAAGTAACAAACTGGGACAATGTTGTTTTGGCTTATGAACCTGTTTGGGCCATTGGTACCGGGAAAGTTGCAACCCCTGCTCAGGCTCAGGATGTAAGTTTTGAGACTTTTATGCATATATAATGTTAGGAGTTTCACTTTTGCATTTCATGTGTTTTGATAGTTTTTTTCCTCTAATGAAAGTTGATTGGTATAATCTAAGCTTGTGTTCGCTCTAAGCATTGCTTTTAACTTGTTCCTCGAGAAATCATATCCTCTTCTATTTTACTTGGAAATTTTTGAATGCGAGTTGAGGAAATGGCTTCGTGAGAATGTTAGTGGCGACATTGCTGAATCGACTAGAATTATATATGGAGGTATTTTTACTTCTTCCTCTACTGCGATCTTGGTTGGTATGTAAAATGTAATGCAACTGTTTTGTTAATGTCTGCTACTCTGTTCTAAAAATCGAGTATCTGGATGCGTCCATCCTAACTGAACTAATGAGAATGAGCTACTCATTGGATTCTTATATCTCAATATGCCATTCTTGAAACTAATTTAGAACCTTGCTTTACCTCTCCATAAATTTTTCTGGTTTCAACTTTTGATACTTGGGTATAGTGTTGCTAAACAAGCAATAAACGAGAAATTGATTTTACATCAATTACAATATAAATGTAGGTTCCGTAAATGGAGCCAACTGCAAGGAATTAACTGATCAACCGATGTTGATGGTTTTTTGGTCGGTGGAGCTTCGCTGAAGGTTAGTGATTTGCTATATTTCCTTGTTGACTCTGGTGATTTGCCTTCAAATCTGCATATCTGCTGTGATTCTTAACTCACATTCTTTTTAATGTTTCCTCTAACAGCCTGAGTTTGTCGATATCATCAAGTCTGCAACGGAGAAAAAGAATTAGAAGCTCAGAGACAGGAATTAAAGGTATAACAGAAACAAACTTCTGGGAAACTTAATGTAGTTTTGATCTTTCCTAGAACCTAATGTCTATCAGAAATTTCTGAGTGTAATAAGCGAAATTTAACAATGTGATTTTTGTGGGGGGTTTTGAGGCATAAATCCTCATTTTGGACTTTCACTGAACTCATCTCCCATTTTCATAGTATTCTTGTCATCTTTATATTAGCATTTGAATTGCCTATTTTGATTTATGGATGCATATAAAATGTTGAAAAAAAGTTTGGTGCATTTATTGTCATGCACTAAGCGGTTTCGTTTTGATTTCAGAAACCATGAAAAATTCCGGACATAATTAATAGTGGTTGACTTGAGAATTCCATTTGACAAAATTTATAAAGCAGGGGAAAAAACGCAGTACATCTCTTAACGCAGTCAGTTGAAAGACTACTCATGGTTAAGGATCCAAGCCTCAAGCTCTTGTCTATGGCTGAAAAATACCCCCTATTAACCAAAATATAAGTGCAAAAAGTTTTAGTTTGTGGATAAATGAGCTAAATGGAACTGAATTTGATGCTATGTGGGATCATCTCCAAATTCGCTTGGCTTATTAGGTCAGACTGTGACTTTATTTTTTTAAATTGAATCTGTCTATTAAGCTATTATACTTAATAATGAATAAATTATCTTTATGTAGGGACAATTATTTTGGTTTCTTGAGTAGTTCAGACTGTCATTTATTTAAGTTTTAATTATCTTCAATCCATCAGTCGATAAAAGAGAATGTTGTTTTCTCTAAAAAAAATGGATTCGGATTCGAGCAGTTAACCGGCATCCACATAAATTTCGAGAAAACTAGTTTAAGAAAAGAAATAATGCAACCAAATCTTAAACTTAATGAAGGTTTGGAGTCCAACTTTAACATCCTTATCAAAAAATTATCCCCGAGTTTTACTTTTAATTTTATTAAAATAAATCAATTGTGCAATTATTTGCAAAATTCAGAAAAATGACGTAGAAGGTTGTCTTTTAACATATCGTCCTTCATCCAATTTAGGAAGATTCAAGCAAAATGGCAAAACAAAATCTTTCAATTTTGTCACATATAAAAGAAAAAGTGTCCAAAGCTCTGAACTTTCCATGCAAGTGAAGAATGTCGGAAGTTATCATCATTGTACCCTGCTCTGGAGTTTCCAGGTTAACCTATTCCATGGAGTACACAACTATTCGTTTATTTCAATTCTTATTTAATATGGTATTTTAATAACCTATTACAGGAATTAACCTATTCCATGGAGTACACAAGCTTGGTCCTTCACATGAAGAGAAGGGGAGATATGAAGATTAATAGCCAATAGATTCGATTAGGTGGCGTTTAGTTCGCTGGAATGTTTATGAGGGAATTAGAATCTGTCAGGAATTGGAATCCAATTCCATATTCTGTTTGGTTGGCAGAAAATTGAATTGGAATCCAATTCCATATTCTGTTTGGTTCGCAGACATGTCAGATGAATTTGATTTCAGTAATGTAAAATGACAGGATTACCTTAATTTTTTTTTAATTTTAGTTTGTTTTATAAATTACATGTAGCAATGTATTATAAAAAAATTTAAAAAAATAAATTTTAATTTTATTGATTGATTGATTATTCATTTTAATAAATTATAAAAATTATTCTAATAAACATTATAAGTTAAAATCATCCTAATTAGGGATGGTCATGGGTCGGGTTTTTGGTCCACCCGACCCGACCAAAATAAAGTTTCACCCGACCCGACCCGAATATATGAATTAGAAATCCGACCCGAAATAAAAAAAATTATTTTTATTTAATAAAAACAATGACTCAATTGAAAAAAATTATATATAGAGGGATACTATTGTAATTATTCCAAAATATATAAGGTAAAATTATATATTTTTGGGTAGAGTATTTTTTCACCCTAAACCCGAACTCGACCCGAATATCGCACTTAAAAAAGCCGACCCGACCCGACTAAAATAAAGTTTCACCCGACCCGACCCGAATATATAAATTAAAAATCGACCCGACCCGAAATAATAAAAAAAATATTTTTATTCAATATATGAATAAGTTACCAAAAGATTAATAAGGGTAGTATGATCAAATTTCAATTCCCTCCAACAAGGGAATTGAATTCCATCATAGAATGGATGTAATTCATTTTTCCTCATTTGATGGAAAGTTGAAGCCATGAGGGATTTCAATTCCCTTGAAAAACTTGAACCAAACATGGAAAAGTGATGAAATTGTATTTCAATTCCCCTAATTCGGGTATTTACATAGTAACCGGCCAATGTCCAATCAAAGTACTATTATCCATTAAAAAATGGGTTTTCATTTTTGAATAGTTTATGTTCATGGATTTTGAGTATTCAACACGATCAATACGTTGAAAGCTACAACGATAGCAGAAGCCATCCGGTGAGAGAAAGCTTAGGGGTAGAAGCTAAAGCCACTAACATAGAAAGAATCCAACGGCTGACAAATGATGGGATGCTGTGAAAGGCTCCTCTGTCTCTGGCTTGACTCTATATACAAATCTTTACTGATAGGTATATAGAAAGCATAAAAACTCTACGCTTAGAAAGGAGGGACCGGTCCGCCATTAATGCAATTCGTCCCACCTTCCTCAAAAAGACAAAAACTCACTTTTCTTTCGCGAACTATCATCATATTCATTGTTCACGTTCTACTTGGCCAGTTGCCATTAATGTCACCATCGTGGATTGTTGCTAATATATAGTTTATGCGCCTTAGAACTATTTTCGCTGGTTTTCTAAACAGCTAATTGAAATTCTATCATGGTTTACATTAATTTGGTTATCATTTTTGTTTGCTTTGAAATATTAGAAGATTGAGTTTTGAAAGGGCAGTAGGTGTTAGAATACTTAAGATGTTTGAGCTAACTGAATTAATCTGTTTGTAATTAGTTGGCCAGATGTTAATAGTCCGTTTGTTTGCTGAATTGGTTGTTAGTTTTCTCGCTTTCTCTAATCCTAGCTGTCGTCCATCATTCCTCTTAAACGGTTTCCACCATCTCTGATCACCGTCCAGCCACTATGCCGCCTTTCTCGCAGTAGGAATTCTACTTGTAAAATTGGATTGTCTCAATTAACTAATGCCTGCATTACATCTTTGAGCAGGATGGCTGAGTTCAAAGTATATCAGTGGCGATGGGAAAGATACGAGTGATTCAAGCAGGAAAGTCTTGTCATTTTCCGCACCTCTGACACCTAGGAGTGAGGGTGAGATCTTACAGTCCCCTAATTTGAAGAGTTTCAGTTTTGCTGATCTGAAAATGGCCACTAGGAATTTTCGTCGTGTGCTTGGAGAAGGTGGTTTTGGCTCGGTATTTAAGTGGTGGATTGATGAAAATTTTGTTGGGAAATAAAACGAGAACGAGTAATTTTCCTATAACGAGATTAGTAAGAATGCGAAATAAAAGCAGAAAAATAATACCCGAAAATTGATAACGGAGTTCAGCCAATTGTACTTACGTCTCCGGACTGCTGCAGATCTTTTATTAAGAGAAAAAATTTACATGTGTTTACAAAACACTCACTACTCACAAGAAAGCTCTCTAGTATTGGGAGAAAGAAAATGATTTGGGATGATTTTGAAGCTAAATAAGCTAGGGTATTTATAGTTGAAACTTATGGACTAATCTTTGAAAATACCCTAAAGTGCAATGACTAAAGTGAATTTACCCATTCCTATTTTCAACAAACATCTACCAAACTTTGAAAAACATTTTTAAAAGTTGGTTGCCAAACTTTGAAACTAACTTTTAACAATCTCCCACTTGAAGACTGATTTTAATCTGTCTTCACACCTCGATCAATGCAGCAATATTTATGGTCTTGTTATTCTAGCATGTCAACTGAAGCTTAACATAACTTCAGTTTGTCCGTAGTCACCGTCTTTGTCAACATGTCTGCCATATTTTGAACTCCACTAATCTTTTCAAGTTTCAAAATCCCATCTTCCAAAAGAGATCGGATAAAATGATATCTCAATTGTATGTGCTTCGTCCTGGAATGAAAAGACGGATTCTTTGCTAGATGGATAGCACTTTGACTGTCACAATACAAGACATTGTTTTCTTGTTTCTTGCCTAAATCTTCCAAGAAACTTTGGAGCCAAACCATGTCCTTGCTGGCTTTCCTAACAACGACATATTCCGCTTCAGTTGTGAAGAGAGCAACTATCTTCTGTAGTTGAGAAACCCAACTCACTGCAGTTCCTCCTAGAGTATAAACATACCCTGTAGTTCTCCTTCTGATGTCAATATTTCCGGCTAAGTCAGCATCTACATAGCCTGTCAGTATCGTATCTCTACCTTTGAAACAAATTGCTTTGTTTGTAGTACCCCGCAGATATCTGAGGATCCATTTGACTGCTTCCCAGTGTACTTTGTCCGGATTATTCATGTACCTGCTAACAGCTCCCACTGCTTGAGCAATATATGGTCTGGTACAAACCATGACATACATTAGAATTCCAATTGCTGAGGCATACGACACCTTCACCAGGTGTGCACGTTCTTCCTCCGTCTTTGGTGACTGTTCTTTGGAGAGTCTAAAATGAACACCTAAAGGTGTACTTACTGGTTTAGCATCTTGCATGTTGAACCTGGAGAGTACTTTGTTGATGTACTCAGCCTGTGATAACATCAAAGTCTCCGACTTTGTGTCTCTCTTGATCCTCATCCCAAGAATCTGCTTTGCAGCGCCCAGATCCTTCATAGCAAACTGCTTCGACAATTTTTGGTTCAAGTGTATAATCTCTTGCATGTTTGAGCCTGCAACGAGCATGTCATCAACGTACAACAATAAAATAATGAAGCTATTGTCGAACCTCTAGATGTAACAACAATGATCTGCTTAGCATCTGGTAAAACCACTGCTACCCATGAAGCTATCGAACTTCTTGAACCACTGTCTACCAGCTTGTTTTAAACCATACAAGCTCTTCTTTGATCCTGTAAATTCACTTGTTATGGAGCGCTCTCTTACCTGGTGGTAATTCAGCTAATTCTCATGTTTGATTTGACATAAGCGAGTCCATCTCATCTTTCATTAAAGACTCCCACTTGACTGAATCCTCCACCTGCATTGCTTCATCATAGCACTCTGGTTCACCATTGTCGGTCAGCAATAAGTAGTGCAAAGAAGGCGAATATCGTTGGGTTGGTTTAGGA